TCGAATAGTATTCTTGTTTCACAAGTCACGGTCTTACGCTATCTTATCTCTTGCGGGTTTTACTGTACTAGAAATTTTGTCAAGTCATCCACAGGGGTTTTTACTTGCAGAACTCTCATGAGTTACAACTTGTTCTGAGCCACCAAATGCCTTTTTGTAATTTTTACGTATCTATTTCTGAAGTACTCCCTAAACATTTACAAAGTTTTCAATATTTTTTATCTCCTTTTTAGCTTATATTTTTTTTTTATATATATATGAAGATATATATATAATTAAATCATTACATGAATTTTCAAAGTTTTCTGAATATTTTAAATTTAGAGTTGATCCTGTAAAGTGGTTTACAGGAATGCACAATCCACCTTCATCGGCGTTGTTTGCTTGCACGCTTGCAGGCATTTTTATTTTTATATCTTCTAATAAAAATTTTATTATTCAAACCTCTCTTGCAGTTCTTTTGACATTCATCGCAAGAGCAATCACTCGATTCATCTTCAGAATCAGCACATCGAGTTATTGAATTCTTATCCACACTAACAGTGAATTCTCCATATGGTAAGGGGATACTGGTCTCTATAACGTATCGAAATTTATTGCATACATTTTTCTTCCTCCTCCTTATAATCTTCTTCTTAGGTACAGTTACAGTTGCTTTGCAAGGTCCATCTTGTATTTCTACTTTATTTTTTGGGTTTTCAGGTATAGAGGAATTATTAGATTTGTTATCAATATCCTTCTCCTCCTCAAAATCACCACCAGTGTTGCGTTTATTACGTTTTCTACAAATCTTCTTTTTCATTTGCGGCTGAAAAGGATGAACAGATTTATTAGAATGAGATGATCTTCTTTGTTTTATCCATCGATATTGTTGTTACATTTAATAATCTTATTTTCTGTATTTTACCTACCTTTTCACATATGGGAGTTGCCATTTCATGCTCCTGCGGCAATTTTCCATTGATCTCTGGCAGAACAGAATCAATGGCGACATCACTTCCCCCATTTAAATTTTTTTTTGTGTCGACTGTAGTGACTGTAACCACAGATTGCTGCATTTGCTCCTTCATACGTCTTTCTCTTTCGATAGCTGCACGCTTTTGAGAAGGAGATGCTTTTAGGTCACTGTATATATTCTTCTTTATAATTCTCTTTGAAGATCCATAGTATTTAGCAGGTTCGCTACTTGCCTTTGAAAGTAAGAACTTCTTGTCTTGTGAATGAATATCGAGATTCTTTAATTCGTCTGAATATTTTGTTTGATCTGAAACTATAGGTACTGTTGTCGCAAGATTTATTGCTGGATTTTCAGACATTTCAAAATAATGTAGGTTATTGGAAACAACTCTGCCACATTTGCTGCAAAGCCTACCTTCGTCTGGCATAGTATTGGTTCCAATATCATTGCAGGACTGCTCTGGTCCATATTGAGAGTAATCAAATCTTTTGGACATTACTAAATTTTGACAACTTTTTCGATTACCAAAATATGTAATCAACACAAATATAAAAAAATTTTTATATGACATATTTTTTTTTATTTCACCAAGACAGTTTTTTATTTAATTTCAAATAAAATAAAAACTACTAGATTGAACTTGAAGCAAATTCAGTCGTCGCCGAATATGTTTGAACGAAGTTATAAGGTTCTTAATCAATTACAAATGTAATGTAGTTCCCTGGTACCAATTAACTAAACATTTTTCTAATCAATATTTAAAAAATTTTTTTATAATAATTTCCTAATGCTTCCATTGATATTTTAGCTTCAATAGTTATTTCGCTGTACCAACATGCATTGCCTTAATTCAAAACAAGTTATTTGAAGAGGTATCCAGTAACAGTTTTTTTTTCGCAATATTTATACTCCCACTTCACAAAGTTCTACACCGTTATTGTCACAAGGTTTATTTCGATTACTGTCGGTCACCGTTAGGTAGCTTCATCGTAGTAGCCTATCCACCGAAGGGAAGTGATTTAGGAATAAATTACCCACTGACAATGTAATCTAAAGATAATGTACTGCAAAAACACTGTCAAAACGTATTTACTGATGTATCACCCATTAGCACAATCCTGAAAAAAGTCATTGCTTCAATATTGTGTTATGTATTATGTATGTTATGGGTTTAATATAAGTTAATGTAAAAAGTATTTTCCGTTTTTTCGCTAAAAATTTCGACTGGTAATTTTACGACTGGTGATGCAAAACTGACACCCAAGTTGTCAGAAGATTACGAATACACTAAATATCAACCACATGACAGTTTGGAATCATTTAAAATGTGCAGACACCCAATGTTTAGTTATTACACGAAATAATGCAGAAATATTACAGCCTATAAGGGTCTAATGAAATAATATACTGTATCAGACAAATACAATATCACTTCTATATTACGTTTATTGATACTCAACAATTATAATAATTTATTTTTTTGCGTATTGCTTTCCCATTGTTTGCGGAAACTAACTTTTATTGACGTTAGGTTAATGCTCAGTTAGTCGGTACGTATCGTAAGAATTTAACTGGAAGCGAAATGCTCAAGCAACCACTCCTGTGAATTTGATAGGAACGAAATAAACAGAATTTCTTCGCAAGTTCTTGCGTACATACAGATTAAATGAGCCTTTTTTTAGCCTTCTCTTTTTTCTCACTTCCTGCTCCTTCCTTCTCTTTCTATCTGTCTTCCACTCACTCTCTCTCTGTCTTCCACTCACTCTCTCTCTCTCTCGCTCTCTCTCTCTCTCTCTCTCTCTCTCTCTCTCTCTCTCTCTCTCTCTCTCTCTCTCTCTCTCTCTCTCTCTCTCTCTCTGCCTCACTTTCTTTTATTTACTGTATTTATTTATTTATTTTACTACAATCTATTTATTTATTTATTTATTTATTTTATTGCTCCTCTGTATAATAATATTTCTATTCTATTTCTATTTCTTCAGCTTATATACATTTTTCATTAGTATTTTATTGCATTGTATGCGTCTAAATAAACACTAATTCGCAATGATTTGATAACCTTGTTGCGACGTATGTTCCTAAATAAATACTAATTTAGAAAGATTAGTTGGCGCATATGTGCCTAAATTAGTACTTAATTACAATGAGAAAATAACTATAATGAAACTAAATAAATACTATGTTATGACAATGAGATGATGACCATATATACTGAAATAGTTGCGGCGTTTAGGTCTATATTAATACTAATGATATGATAGCCATAAGAAAACATTTGTTGCAAAAGAGAATTAATAATATAACTGCTTGAATATTTTAATTACTTTAAGATAAGATAGTTCGTACATGTTTACACTAGAACAATTCCAATACATAGGGCTTATATTTACTTTAGAAGTCAATATTAAGATTTGAATTCAAATACTTACTATTCCAAGAGTCGAATACCTCTATAGCTAGTGTCTTTTTATCTTCTAAGTATAATATTTTTGTTATACCTATGTTATAAATAAAATTAAAATAAAATATTTATTATATAAATATATTTTTGTCATAACAATGTCATAAATATGATAAATAATAAAAATAAGTATTTTTTGCACAGGACAACGATATAAATAAATATTGATATTTTATTGAAACCAAGAAACCAAAACACCAAACTAAAAATGAAACCCAATGAATATTTTTAAAAATAAAACTTGCAACGAAAAATTTTATAAAAGAACTTTAAAACCAGAAAATCAAAGTCAAGTAAAAATAAAATAAGAAAAAATAAGACTAAAATAAATAAAAGAGAAAATCAAATAAAATATACGAAAGCCGGCATTTAAATTAAATGAAAAGGACCAACAAAACAGGAAACTTTAATGCAATTTACAATAAAATAAAAAGTAATAAAAGAGAATATAAATCTGATAAATAATACAATATATACAAAAGAACGACTACAGAAATAAATTAACAACGGCAAAAGTCATGTTGTGTTTCAATTTAAAATTAGCCACAATATTTCGATCTTATCGCGAAGAAAACGTACGTGACCGCAGCCAGAGTTTATGCGCCCCACCGACAACGAGGCGGGCGCCGCCACACAAGGATATCGGTGCATTACGTGTACTGCAGAGGCGAGCCTCGAGTGTGATGTAAGTGCAAAAAGTGTTACGATGAGTGACTGCAAGCGCAATGCCTGATGGAAGCAGAAATGCAATTAATAGTTTATAAATACACTTAAGTATTGTGCAATTTTAAATCCGACTAATTGTGCTGTAAATGACTGGTTAAGAGTAAAGGTCCTTCTCTTTACACACCCCATACATTGACTTTTCATTCATGTTCATCTAATGAAATATGCCTGACAAAGGCACAAAACTGTGTAATGGACGTAAAGGCAAAAGGTGGCAGCAAGCAAATTAAAAACCCAACACAATTGAGATATTGCAACTGAAAACTCTTATTAAAAAAAAATTATTTAAAAAAACTATAAAAAACCCAAAGAAGCTGGAGAAGGAAACCCCACACATACATACATATATACATATACATGCACACACACATGATTTTAGACAATAGACCACATAATTGTGACCAACAAAATATAGTAAAATAAACACTGTTGTCCTAGTTTGTTTGCTCTTCCGCCTCAGTATATTTTGTGCTTTTGTTTATTTTAATAATTATTTGGTACGCCACAAAGTATGCTGCAATTTTCATTCATTTCCATTCTTTTGCTTATAATAATTAAAAATTAATTTCTACGCTCAGTTGGGGTTAAAAAATTGTTTTCAATTATTTCAAGAGAAAACAACAAAAAAAAATATACATTAATAAAACTTAAAATATAATTTTTTTATGCAGTTTAAAATATTTCCTTTCTTAGGGTTCTAATTATATGTTGACCTTTAATTATATGGTTTTACGTGTGCACTTTACTTGACGTTTATTTATTTGAATGAGTTTTCCCTGCAAAAATAAATAAAGCTCATTACTTACTGTGAAAATCACAATATGAAATGGAAAATAAGAGGAAATAAATTAATAAATTACAAATACAATACAAGGTTTTGTATATTTATTTTATTTTACTGTTTAGTATAATAAGGGAAAAATCACATTTATGCATTTGCAGCAGTTGCATTTGAAATTCGTTATTGAAGTAATTATAGCGAAGGGTTGGTTAAGAGCACTTCTAGTACTAGTCTTACTAAAACAACTACACTGCACGTGCACTCAAGTAGAAGGGCTTACTTATTAATAAAAATATCAAGTAATGCAAACTATTTTATATCTAAATATAGAATCAACCTTTCTCTTACATTTACAAATGGAAAACTGCTGAGATTCTATTACACATAAATATTTTAATTAAAATTTTTGTGCTCTATGTGAGAAATTTCACCTTAAATAGAAAAGAAATATACCCCCTGAGGAAATTTTTAAATATATAAATATAATTTTCAATTGAAGAAAGTTTTGGGTTTTACTTGGAGCTATTTTGGATACTCTCAAATATGTATAATCAGTAGTCAAGTGGTTCATTTCTCTCTCTGTTATCCTTACCTCCCAGTGGAGCATAGGGCCTCTACCATTTTTAAATCGTATTCCGTTATTTGATTCACGGCATATGTCACTCCAGAAATAGTTCGCTTTTCTTAGTTCTTCTTCAATTGTTCTTGTCCAAGTTTAAGCCGGCGCTCCAAAGTAGCCCGGCTAAATGCCATAGTGCTTTTTAATGAATGAGTGTTACATCATCGATTTGTGATTACTAACATATTCTACTAGCCGTGACCACCACTATTATTAGTACTTTTGTAATGATCACAGTATGGTTTCTACATTGAAAAAGTTTTAATTGACTGTAGTATGTTCTGTTGTATTCCGCAAACCCCTTGCATATATCTTTTTTTATAGAATAAATATTCTATGGATAAACAGCAATATACATTATCCAATATCATCAAATTCTACAATTAATTCAAGTGATTCAAGTTGATGCGACCGATGTAA